TACTTGTCTTTCTTGTCTGATAACTGCTAATGCTCGTGTTCTCTCTGCTGCAGGTATGGTGTTGGAGTGCCAGAAGCCGTCACTGTCGAAGTCGGGATCAAGATCCGGCGGGTGAGTCCAGGCGGCGAACGATACGATGCCGTCGCTGTCGGCAGTTCCGCGGTCGGGGACGAAGTCCAACACGAAGACACCGGACTTCAGGAGGGCACGACCGATGAAGAGGCCGCCCTTCCCGTGGTAAAGTCGGAACTCGTTGGAGAAGGAGTCGCACTCCAGGTGAATCCCCTTAGCCATTAGTTGGCTTACGCTTAGTAGGTTGTATCCCAGATTGTCGACGATGAGGACTTTGTTGAGCTGAAGAATACGTTTGTCTCCATTGATTGTAACTGAACCACGCCTTGTCTGTTTGTTTCAGGTTTTCGTTGTTGGCGACGGTGATGACGACGTCGCGGTTGAGGCGTCTCTGTACGAAGCGTCCGAGGAGCACATGTGTGACCGCAGCAGCTGTCCAAGAACCAGGTGTTCGCGCCCGGTGGGTTCGGCGTTGCGACCGCGTATGTCGGGTTGACCTGAAGTCCTTGCGAGCGCGGCGGCGGGAATTCTCTTCGTCTGGTGCGTAAGTGGGTGGTGATCGGGTGCGCAGTTGTCGATGTGTACCATGCAGTTGATGAATGTTGGGTGTTTGTTGTGCAGATGTTGAAGAGCGCCTTGGGGACTTGCTTGAGTGGAAGCGACTTGTGGGTCTGCTGCACGGTAAACGCGAGGGCGGTTGCAGTTGACCTTGGAGTGCCCGGAAGTCTGACAGTTGTGGCAGAACGGCGGCACGATGGTGAGTCCTCGTTGTCGCGTTGATCTTGCTTGCTGCGTCGGTTGTAGTGTTGTCATTTCTTCTTTGAGTGTAGAAGACTAACTGCTGTTGCTTCCTTGGTTGTCTTTCCTCGAACAGATCCATCTCCTGTTGTTCAGCGTGAAGCTCGGCGCAGAGGTGCATCTCCGAAATCTTCCGTGGGCGCGAAGAAGTGATCGTGTGGTTCTCCATTCTGGCCCGAGCCCGGCGAGGACAAGTGTCACGAAGCTTTCTTCAGTGATCGTTCCTCCGCACCGAAGCAGGCGGTCGCGGAGGGTCTGGCAGCGACTCATATACTGCATCGCCTTTTCCCCGGTCTTCATCTGTATTGTTGTCAGCTGTTGCATGAGTCTGCTTTGTGTCACGCTGTCGTTTGCTTGGTAAGGCATTGAGATGGTGCCATGCGAGCTCCGCGGAGTTTCCATAACTCCGATACGTTCTGATGCTCTGCTGCTCTTGTGGTGACAGGTTTCTCAGGAGACCGTATACGCCAGCAGCGACTGATACGTGAAGATCTCTTGTTCCTTCCAGTGCCGTTGCTTGGGAATGGCAGGGACCCGTTGAAGTATCCCAGAAGATGCGCGGCCTCCATCAGCAGCTCGAACTCGAAGCTCCAGGTAAAGAAGTCGTGTCCGTTGAACGGTGAGGATGTCTGAAGTTTGATCACGTGTGAGAACTGCGCCTGAGACTTAAGATTTCGTTTGGTGTTTGTTGTGATGCAGCTGCTGTTGGTTGGGCACGGGGCGGCATGAACTCGAACGTCCCCGGAAGAATGATAAGGCGCAAAGGTAGGCGCTTGGTTGTGTCGCCCGAAGGATGAGTTGTCGAGGCTCATCGGCGCTAATCCCATGTTTCCTCCATTGCTCTGTGTTGAATGCGCAGGTGTCCTTGTCTGCTGCTGCTGGTCGAAGTGTGACATGAAGCTGAAGAATCTCTCCATGAGATTCGGGTCCACACTTGAAGAGGGAGACGGAGTCACCATCTCTGGTACTCTTCCCGTTGTTTCTTGAGCAGTCCCGGTCTCTGTCTGCAGTCCTGAGGTGTGCAGACCAGAGTTGCCGTGTTGAGTTTCTTGGCGCTGGGTGAGCCCGTAGAGACTTTCTTGCCCTTGTTGTCCATGTCTTGTAATCAATGAAGTCGTTGAATTGAGTTGAGTTGCAGGTTGTTGATGGAGCGTAGTTGCTGGGAGTTTGGTCTCTGACCAGCTCTCATACCATGTTGGGCTGAGAAAAAGCCCTTAGGATCTTTTGCAGAGACTAAGTCCCAGCTTGTAGAAGACTTGAGACTTGGAGTAGTGCAGCGGAAGTTGAGAGTTGAACCCTTGTACTAGTATGTGAGAACAAGTGATTGATTAAAGAAACAAGCATACAGCAATATATAGAAGATAAGAAAGCAGTTGTAGAATACAGTTACAGGAACGGTTTATCGAGTCGCACAGCGACTCGATTGCCGCTTCGGTTACCATCCGTGATGTTGTAACGGTCAGTCGCAACCTCCAGTTGCGACCTTTCGAGTCCTTTCGCATTCTTTGTCCGCCCCTCGTGTAACCTCCGTTGACTCGCGTGCTCCCCTGTAATCTTCTTCGAGTACAGTGTTACACTTCAGAAGACGCTTAAGTCTTTTGAGATGTTTCCAACAGTGTGTACTCTCATCTTTACCATTATTCAATTATTCTGATAGTCTGAACATCAGACGGCCTAAAATCCTAGCTGAAACCCTGGTCTCTTGCCAAAGTTGCCCTTGTCTAGCCTAGGGAGTGTGTTAACATATTTATATATTGTTATAGACTAAATAGGTCCATGCTTTTAGAGAGTACAGCACCATAGCATTAAACCTGCCTGTATGCCTTATTCTATTCATTGCGTTATTCTGAGAACAGCTTGTAACATCTATTATAACCTCCTTTCGAAGCTTCATGATGGGCTAACTGGAGTTTGATCATGCACTAACCTAGTTTGATACTTAGAACCCGATATACAGTTTTTGTCAAATGGGTGCGAATGTAAGAAGGGGGATGTGCCTGTAACGTGTAAGATTTCCAAAGATGGCGTGAAGGAAGCAGGGCCACATGGAAACCAGGGCCAATGGCGTGGAGCCCACGTCAGCCAACTGTGTTTTTTGGTGGTTGCGTGGACGCTGGGGAGTGATGTGGCAGGAACATGGTTTGAGGTTCAGTCAAGCCAGGCCTGCTTATTGGCGATTTTCCAAACCTATTAGAACAACCAATCGACCGTCCTCCATTGGCTTCCCAGTTGTTCCAACGAATCTCTGTTGCGGAATAAAGCCACGTAAGTCTGGCAACCTCTTCCTTGGGAGACTAGGTTGCACTTCTGGCGCCTCGGGTGTCAGAGCTAGCAGCCCACCGAAACCCCCTCAAGTAACAATTGAAGGAAGACGGGGGTGGGTGTGACCAATTTACCCAACGGCTTGGATTTTCAATGTCTCCAATTTCCTACGACTGAAAGCCTCACACCAACTGAACTTTCTGCCTTGCAATCCAGTCTCCAGTTTCCTCCTCTGGTCAGGTCTCAAGCTGTTCCTACTCACCCCATCGTCTAGCTGCGTCGCCATCGTCCAGCCACAGCCCTGTGTGGCTGGGCGAGATTCTCCTCAGATTTCTCGTTTCTTGTTGCTTGTAACGAGCTTCCCTGTCGATAGAGCTGTCAAGAGTACCTTGGAGGTGGTCTTCACGAGCCGTATCATGGCGTCGTCGGAAAGGACCTCATTTAAGAAGCAGCACCCGTTGGTGAGTAAAAGCATGCTCGCACTGCCTTAAAAGGGGAAGTGCGTTCAACTGGCTCATCTTTCTTTTCTACGTTGCAGAGAAGAGGAGGATGGAAGCTGACAGGATTCGGCAGAAGTATCCCGATAGGATCCCTGTAAGTTAATGCCGTCTAGCTTTCGTGAAAAACTGCTTGCCTTGTGCATATCTTATTACTAGCTGTCTCTGTGTGTGATGCATAGCTTATCATTCATGGCGTATCTATGCAGGTCATTGTTGAGAAGGCTCGCAGGAGCAAAGTGCCCGACATGGACAAGAAAAAGTAGGTTTTTCCCCGCTTCTCACCCTCCACACACAACATACACACACACACACACACGCACGCACGCACGCACGCACGTACGCACGCACGCACGCACGTCCGCACAACCGCACGACCGTCGCACGCGCGCACGCACGCGCACAGGCACACGAGCTCGCACACACACAAATACGTACATGCTAGTCATTCCCATTTTCCCCTTCTTCCTCCATGTCTCACCTCCTCTAAGCTCCCTCCTGGTCCCTTGTCTCTCTCGTGCGTCCCCCTTGTTCTTTCGCTGATTGCCTTACATGGGTCGACTGCTATTGCAGGTATTTGGTTCCTGCGGACATTTCTATCAGCCAGTTTACGGCAGTCATTCGCAACAGGATAAAGCTCAGCCGGAGCAAGCAATATTTCTGTTCATTGGCAACACTATGCCTCCCTCATGTAGGTTTTCTTTTCACATGCATGTTTTTTTTGTCCAGGGACAATGTGCTGATCAAGGCCGTTGTTTTCTCTCATTGCAGCTGCACTTATGTCGGCCACCTATGAAGAACACAAAGACGGTGATGGCTTTCTTTACGTGACATACGCTGGAGAAAATACCTTCGGATAAAATTCGGACAGTTTGTACAGATTTGTGTACATATTGTTATTTAAAGTCGTCAATTTTGTTTTCAAGTAAATAGCACGTCATATTGAATCAAGAATACAATTTGAAGCAGCTTGGCGAAATCCATACTTATAACCTCCTTTCCTTATGCTCGAAGGAGGTTACACGCTACAGTGGTATTGAAACATGGGAAATCAGTCTCGAAGATGTGAAATGTCGCAAATCTCAGGGTTGCTGCACCATAGCGTGGGGAGTTGCTGCGGGTGCTGGCGGGAGCGGCGCACTGAACCAAATTTCGAGGTCCATTCAGCAGCCCGTCCGGTGCGGGTTTGGTTGCGCTGCTGGAATCTTGGGAAATGTTTTTCGTTGCAGCACAGAGGCGCACAGTCAGCGCCACGCCAGCCCCAGGTTTTCTTGAGGAGCCATCTCGCTCGCGCCACCTGCATCGCACTGCGTAGCGGCACCTTCGAGGCTCGACCCTACCAAGCCAACTCTGGGAATGTTACAAGTCATTGCGTGTGCCTCGATATTAGCAATGGTTCGGCCTCACTAGTAGTTGGTTAGAGTCCCAGACTGCGCTGAGCCGTCTTCTCACTAGTTCGTCGTTGCTAGAGCCAAGCAGCTTATTCAGCTTCAACTGCCAAGTATAGCTTGCCAGGATCCGGCTCTACGAGCGGTCGCTAACCGAGTGTAACCTCGTCAGCCTCCTGTTCTGAATCTGTCTAGCCGATTCACTTCAGCCATGGCAGTTTACCGCGCTGTTGAGGTATGGAGGGTTGACGGAGTTCAGTAAACACGGCCGCGCAGGCAGCTCAAGGCAGAGTTCACAGCGCCATCCCGCGCCAAGCTTGTTTCCCGGCTGGAGCTTCAGCTTCTTACACCTAGATTCTGACTGCATCTTCATCGTCATCCCAGTATCAGGCCTCTCGACGCTTCACGACTACAGCTGACGGTTCTCCTGGTGTTCTCGTCCCCCCTGAAAGCGACGGCTAGCCTTCGTTCAGCTCGATCGTCCCGGATCTTGTCGCGCGGATCCTTTCCGCTCCACCGTCCTCTCACTGAGAGAAAGTCTCACCAGATCGTCTTCTAACGCGACAAGTGGAGCTGTCTGCTGGTGATTTGCCGCGTTTCTCCAGCAGCGTCCATCGCAGCCATGCTGTCGGCGAGCTTCAATCGCCTGGTGGAGGCGGCGATCGTGCCGTTCGCGAGGTGCTCACTCTCGCCGCCTTCGGCTACCTCCTCGCGCTGCCCGGCGTCAACGTGCTCACCGACAAAGCCCGGCGCTGCTCGGAAAGCTCGTCTTCGCGCTATTCCTCCCATGCCTCATCTTCGCTTACCTGGGGGATACGCTGACGCTAGAGCGCATGCGGCTCTGGTGGTTCATCCCCGTTAACGTCCATCATCGCTGCTGTTTCTGGCTGCTTCATGGGCCTGCTGGTCGTCGCGTTTGCCCGCCCGCCGCCCCGCTTTTACCGCTTGACGATCGTTATGACGGGGATTGGCAACATCGGCAACATCCCCCTCGCTATAGTCAACTCCATTTGCAGGCGGAAGGTGGACAACCCGTTCGGGTCCCCTGCGGAGTGCCACCATCACGGCGGTGGCATACATAGCGTTCGCTCAGTGGGT